TTGATTTTACCAACTTTATTTCCATCTCCTTCTACACCTCTCGAGCACATGCTCCACATGCTTGATGTAAGGCACTCTTTGGCCTTCTACACTGATAGAACTAAATCATTCAGACATTCTCCAAGACTCTTATTATGTTTCCATGGCCCTCATAAGGGTGCCCCAGCTTCGCCTCAAACTATCTCTCGCTGGATTGTTCAAGCTATTTCATTGGCCTATGAGCTCACAGGCAGGACGCCTCCTGAACATTTAAGAGCTCATTCTACCCGAGCACTGTCAACTTCTATTGCCTTCCAACATGGAATAGAGCTTCCTCACATCTGCTGTGCCGCTACATGGTCTTATCCAGCAACCTTTGTGAGGCACTACCGTCCAGGCGAAGAATGATGCTGCTTTTGGCAGAGCGGTCTTGACATCTTTTCTGCCATGACGGCCCACCATTCAGTAAGTGAGCTTGTCAGTCACCCATTTGTGTGCATTCACAGAGGCCACGAAGAAGAAAGAGAGGTTACCTACCTTTAACCATGGTTCTTCTGGTGGCCCTCTGTGAATCCACACGTCCCACCCATCCTCCCCTCTATCCATCACGTTGTCTTTTATATAAGCTTTTGACAGCGGTAAACTTTTACAGGAACTGAGGGGACTTTTGGAGGGCAGAGCATGTGCTCCATAAGGGAACGTCTTACTAATCACATGCTTTTAAGCTCTAGAAACTTCCGAGACGTCCTGCGCAGGCGCAGACCAACCCAATTGTGCGGATTCACAGAGGACCACTAGAAGAACCATGGTTACAGGTAGGTAACCTCTCTATTTTTTTTTGAACTCTCTGAAACCACTGCTTAGTTCGTTCAGATTAAAGTGTTGGGAGGTGCTTGGACTAGGGACATTCCCCAGCCATCACCACATTTAACTCTCCTGGACTCACGCACTCCAGGATCAGCAGGGTAGTGTGATCAGCTAAGTGGTTAGAGTGAGACTCCCTGAAGCTGGTGGTCTGTCACAAAGGTCACTGTTCCTTAAAAAGATACTGACAAATGAGGGAAGGTACGAGAAAGAGCAATGAAGATAATAAAGTGTCTGGAGGAACATTGCTCTGAGGAAGGGCTGCAGTACTGGGAGCTTTTTAGCTGAGGACACTAAATGAAACAAGAACATGATAGAGGTGTATAAAGTTAGGAATGATGGGGGGAAATAGAGGGAAAATTCTATCATAATATTAAAACCAAGAACCACGCAGTGAAGCTGATTTAGTAGAAGACGCAGAATAAATAAAATGATCTACTTCTTTATATAACACATAAGCTACACTGAGGAATTCACTATCACAAGATGTAGTTATTCCTGACAATTGGATGGTATTCAAAGGGATTTGACAAATTCATGGAGTATAAGGCAATCAGTGGCTGGTCATGATACAGTGGTGCCTCGCATAGCAATGATAACTGGTGCAGCAAAAATCGCTGCAATGCAATTTTGTCGCTATGCGATATTAAAAAGCCCATAGGAATCCATCTGAGAATACAGCGGGCGGCCATTTTTTTTAACTGGAATCCGTCCGAGAAAACAGTGGGCGGCCATTTTTTTTACCCGGTGGCCATTTTGGAACCACCGATCAGCTGTTAAAAATCATTGCTTTGTGATGATCGGTAAGCAAAACAGGGTGCCAATGATCGCAAAGCGATTTTTCCCTATTTAAAACATCACAATGCGATCGCAAAAGCGATCGCAAAATCTTCGTCGCTATGCAATTTCATCGTTAAACGGGGTACCCATTAAGTGAGGCACCACTGTAATTGTATTTTACCTCCATTATTAGAGGTAGCTCATCTCTCCCTAACATTAGTCTGAGAAGTTGTTTCTCAGAAGGATGGAGAATATTATATAAGCGTTCTTGATATGCAAGTGTTCTTAATATGTAAGTGAGAATATAATATTCTCACTTGCATATTAAGAACGCTTGCCCAGAATGTTCTGCTGAAAGGATAGCAGTTATTAACATACAAATACTCTGTTTTCCCTTTAAAAATATTTTTCTTCAAGTTTCATGGCGCCTTGATGAAACCTTTGGTCATCTCCATATTTTAATTCATTCTGTTGTGTCCTAGAGATTATCTTTCTAATTTTGCACCTTTGCTTTTGAATAAGTCTTTGCTGCTGCTTTCTATTTATGCTTTATTTAGATTTATGGTTGCATCTTTTATGTATCTTGTTTTGTTTTGTTTTAAGCTGTTGCAGAATCATTGCTCTATATTTGATGTGTAAGTATTTTGGGTTGTTTTTTTTTAAGGGGATTTTTGTTCCTCTTATTTTTTAGGATCTTCCTTTGGAATATGCTAAAAGAAACAACAGAAGCACAGTATTCCGTATAGTGCCAAAATTTAAAAAGGAAAAGATTCAAAAACAGAAGACTAGCCTTCAACCTGGTATGCTTTCTAAAAAAATGATTTGGGGGAAGAGTTAATGTGGTATCTTTTATTTAAATGTTGAACCACGTACATCTTATTAAACTTTCAGCACAAGGGAGCATTGACAAAGTTTGGTCTAGAGAATAAACACTGGAGGTATACTAATTAATAAAGAATTTCTGTATTGTTTCACCATTATGATGACATAAAACATTTATAGGATTAGTTTTCCATTAAAATCTATTTCTGGATCATCGATTTTCAAAATGTGTCCCAGGAAATCCTGCAATTCTTTGGAAACCTATCAGATTATCTTCAATGAAAAAAAATCAGTAATAGCCAAGAAGCTTCTTTGTGGGATAGTTTGTCCCCCGTTATTGTCATTTCCCTATAATGTGTATCTGTAGGTAAGGGTTATGTGTACTACATATACGTTCAGTTTATATGAAGTAACTGTCCATGTCTATACCCTAAGACCCAGAATTTTCTGTAGTGCGGAAGAGTCTTTGAGAGAAAAATCATCATGCAAAATATTCCTTGAAAGGAGAATGTTACAAAGCCAGTATAATTGTATTACTTGCATGTGCTCAGGTTTTTAAAAAGCACACCTTTAAAAAGAATCCTTTTTTTAAGGGACAGAATTTTAGTGGATGTCATTCTATTTCCATTGTCATGGGGTTTTTTACATGATGCCTCTCTGCTGCTTATTTCAGTTCTCTTTCACCAGGTCTTTTAGCAAGCAAAATGTTCCAAAATACAAAATACTGAAGAATTATTAATTTGAGAATTTTAGTTGATTATTGATGAATTGGCTGTTTTTATTGCAACTTCCTGTGTTATATCTAGATTATGAAGCAAAAGAGCACAGGATGAAATACATGAAAATTGAGAGAATGGCTTTATATACCCCCCTTTATTAAACTACTTTCTAAATCTTAATGTGGGCAACTACGTTTAGAGAACAATGTTGACAGAACTTTGAAATGTGCTGTGCACCTTGTTTGGTTCATAGCTTATTTGCAAGACCTTCAGTTTCCATGTTTTGTTTTGTTTTTGAATTCTCTCTTTCTTTTTTCATACTTTTATTATAATCAGTAAATCATCATTAATGCATAATGGAACATGCATAGACCTTGCAGTACAGATTGTAACATGCTTAACATTAACATTTAGAGGTTTGATAACTTTGAAGCTGAAGCTGAAAGCATGGCTGCAATGCATATTGCCCGATTATTTTCCCCACCCCCATATTCTCAAGTTTCTTTACCTTAACCCGCATGAAAACGGAAGCTGCCAGTTTGTTTGTTTTTTCAAAAATACTATCACTGCATTGTTCTATTTTCTACTCTGTGGCCTAACCTTTGCTTCTGATGCAGTTGAGCTTGTAGAAATTAAGGGGGTTTTGCTCTTAACTTGGTAGTTCAGAAATGGGGCACAGATGAAGTTGCTGCTTGGCTGGATCTACTCAGTTTGGGAGAGTACAAAGAAATCTTCATCAGCCATGACATCCGAGGCACTGAGCTTTTGCATCTGGAAAGGCGAGATCTTAAGGTATTTTCTTTGTGCTACTTTTCTGCTTATGATCATTTTTCTTTAAATTAAATTAATTGAAACCTTTCCTTTGTCCCCACTCAAGTTGTATGCTTATAGCTTGGCTTTCTGTGTGCAAACCTGCAGCCTCTCCCCCAAAAAAACCTACCACAGAACACTCACACTCAAAATTCGTACACTGTTAGGCTGTATTTAACTTTCGTAAGGAACACTCTTGAGCATTTGCTAAAGAATGTATATATGATAGTAAAATTTGACTCGTGTGAAAATTACTACGTTGCTAACAATCAGTAATAAGAATCAGTACTCTATTAATAGTAATAGAGAAACCAGAAGTCATGTAGCACCTAAAAGACTAAATGGTTTTTATTTTTCATAGGCTTTCCTACATCCAAGCACGCTTTTTAAAGTGAATAGAATAGTTCTCTGGAGGGAGTATAAATCTATGGCAGTTTGAAACATCTGGCAACAGTTTTAAACTATCAGTAGTTCTTCCTGCCAACAATTTAAAGCTAGATTGTTAGCAGACAGAAAGTGATTAATTCTGTCACAGTGGTTGTGGCTGGGTGATTCTGTATATGCAGTTTTAATATTCAGACCATATGCCACTAGTATGCCCAGATTTCCCAACGATAGGCAATCTACCAGAAATTACCCTTCTGGCAGCTGTGGATGTTGAGGCACTCTATATGAACACCCACCACAAAGATAAGCTGCAGATGAGAAAGGAGGGGACCACAGCACATCCGGCCATGAAACTTTGCAACTTTGTGCTCTGTCTCTTAACTATTTTGGTTTTGGTGGGAATGTATACCTTCAGAAACCAGACTTTTCAGCAAACCCAGGTACCAGCTGTGCCAACATATTTACACAGAAAATGCCATCAGAATACCAAACAATATAATCAAAAATATCAGGAGCTCATATACTTGCTTATCCACCCATTTGATAGATGCCATTTTTTGTCAGTGACACCCACTGTATTCTAAATCGAACGAATAGGCCAGACTCTATGTAAGAGAGTAAATGGGCACAAAACAGACATCAGAAATAAAAATACCCAAAACCCAGTGGGCAAACATTTCACCCTTCCTGGACACTCTACTTGTGATCTCAGAGTTGCAGTCCTTGTACAAAGAAACTTCAAGGACAGATTCCAAAGGGAGGGTTTCTGAGCAGCAACACATTAACATACTCTTTCTAGACTTCAGCAAAGACAATGGTGTCTTATGCTATTATATACATTAATCTAGTCATCTGAACCTTGGTCATACACTAATCTCCACTATTGTGATGGAACTAATTACTGTATTTCTTGTCATCTGCTGTGATCTAGTTTTAAATTGTTGGCAGTGAGAACTGTTGATACATTAGCACTACAGTCATGTGAGAAAGAAAGTACACCTTCTTTGAATTTTAGGTTTTTACATATCGTGACATAATAATAAAAAATCATCTGGTCCTTGGCAGTTCTGATAATTAGGTAAATATAACCTCAGATGATCAACAAGAAATGATACTTTATGACATTTTTACACAAATAAAGCCAAAATGGAGAAGCCATGTATGAAAAACAAAATGCCCCTTATGATTCTGTAATTTGTAGAACCACCTTTAGCAGCAATAACTGGAAGTAATCGTTTTCTGTATGACTTTATTCTATACATATCACATTGTTGTGGAAGAATTTTGGCTCATTTCAGTTCAAAATTGTTTCAGTTCATTGAGCATTTGTGGGAATTTGTTTATGCACAGCTCTCTTAAGGTCTCACCACAGCATTTCAATTGGCGTGAAGTTTGGAGTTTGTCTGAGGCATTGTGACACCTTGATTCTTCTGTTTTTACAGCCTTTTTATTGTAGATTGTGGCTGCAGAAGAAGCCCAAATCATCACCCCTCACCATTGTGCTTGACAGTTATGAGTTTTTTGTCCTGATATGCTGTGTTTGTTTTTTGCCAAACGTAGCACTGTGCATTATAGCCAGACATCTCCACTTTGGTGTCATCTGTCCAAAGGACATTGTTCCAGAAGTTTTGTGGTTTGTCCAGGCAACTTGGCAAATGTTCTTTTTTTACAGAGAATAGGCTTTCTCCTGGCAATCTTTTCAAAAAATGTACTTGTTCAGTCTTTTTCTTATTGAACTGTCACAAATGTTAACATTTAACATATTAACTGAGGGCTGCAGAATCTGAGACGTAACTCTTGGAATTTTTGCAATTTCTCTGAGCATTGCATGGTCTGACCTTGAGGTGAATTTGCTTGGATGTCCACTTCTGGGAAGATTGTCTTGAATAAAGATGGGATATTTGTCTTTATTTTCAGGGGGAACTAATGTGAATATTGCCACCCCAGGTGGCCAGGCCGATTGGGCCCTCCCTCCAGAATTGGGCCATCCACTAACCACTCACAGTGTGGTGAAAGTGGCCATCATTTATTGCACCACACCAGTCATGGAAGTAGCCTGGCCGGGACTTCCCCCAGCTCCCTGTGCTGCTGACCACTCAGCAGAGGGTTGGGGAGACTAGTCACCCTGCCTGCCCATCAGATTGATCAGCAGCATAGAGAGGTGGGGTAGGCCCAACTGGGCTATTTCCATGATTGGCGTGGCACAAATGGTGATGGGTGTACACACTGCACTGTGAGCTGTAAGTGGATGGCCTGGTTTGGGAGAGGGGAGGGTCCAATCAGCATAGCCACCTGCGGTGGCAATATTTGTATCCGTCTCCCCTGGGATACGAATATGAATATCCCACCCCTAGTCTTGATTGTTTTCTGCTTGTGAATCATCTTCCTCACTCATCTTCTACCATTATTGCTGATGTGTTTCCTCCTTGACGTTGTGTTAACAGACACCTGAATGCTCCAGACCAGGAAACTGCTAAAACTTTGGCTTTTATAGAGGTGGTCACACTTTCTGATGATCAGCTAGTTAAGGGTGTTTGGTTAGCAGCACCTGGCTGCTACTTAGCCTCTTAATTCCTATTGAATAGTAAGGGCTACTTAATTTTTCAAATATGGTTTCTCCATTTTGGCTTTAGTTTTGCAAAATAAATAATGACATGGTATAATATTTCATGTGTTGTTGTTCATCTGAGGTTGTATTTACTTAATTTTCAGACCTGCTAAGGTCCAGGTGCTTTTTATTATGTCCTGAAATGTAAAACCATAGAATTCAAAGAGAACGTACTTCCTTTTTCACATAACTCTATTGTCAACAGTTTTATACATTCGCACAAAGACACATGTTTGGACACATGAAAGCTCATAAAAATAAAAAAAAGTCTTATAGTTACTACATGACTTCTGGTTTTGCTGTAACAGACTAACACAGGTACCTGCTAGATTACTTACAATAATGTGTCAAAAAGGGTTGTGTAGAAGGCAGTTTGCAATTCCCTAATCCATTAATTTACCCAGTGTGGTGTAGTAGATAAAGGAATGGACTAGGACTCAGGACACCTGAGTTTCATTCCCTGGCTCTGACATCAGAGCTCACTGGGTATGTGTGTGGAACTGGTAAAGCCACTCCTCAAATACCTTGCTTACTTTAAATGTCTTATTAGGGTCATATACAGTGGTGCCTCACTTTACGATTGCTCCGCATTATGACGAATCCTCTTTACAACGATCTTTTTGCGATCGCAGTTGCGATTGCAAAACGATGGTCTAAATGGGGGAATTTCGCTTTGCGAAGATCGGTTCCGTGCTTCTGGAACCGATTCTTCCCAAAACGATGTTTTTCTAACAGCTGATCGGCGGTTTCAAAATGGCCACCGGGTAATTAAAAGGGCTCCCAGCTGTGTTTAGAGACAGATTCCTCGCTATACAGGCAGCGAAAATGGCCGCCGTATGGAGGATCTTTGCTGGACGGTGAGTTTTTACCCCATTGGAACGCATTGAACGGGTTTCAATGCGTCTCAATGGGGTTTTTTTTATTTCGCTTTACGATGTTTTCGCTTAACGGCAATTTTCCTGGAATGGATTATCATCGTTAAGCGAGGCACCACTGTAAGTCTGTTGTGACTTGACAGAATATAACAAGAACAATACATTAGCTAACTTCATCATTATTACCTTTTTTGTGATGAAGATATGACAATTTATTTAAACTTTTTTCCTAAACTGCATTTACCCTATATGAATCCCTCTTTTTCTTTGAGGGGTAAGAGATTACTATTGGAAAAATTTTCTGTGCCTTTAAGTCAGAACCAGCAGTGACCCTAATAGGGCTTTCAAATTAAGTGAAATGTGTAATGAGTGGTTTTCCCTGTTCCACTCCCCCAGTGAGTTTCCATGGCCAAGTAGGGATTTGAACCCTGTTCTCCAGAGCTCTCGTCCATCACTCTTATCATCTGCAGCACACTTGGAATCCTAAGTGGTAGGTGTATTCTTTTGACACAAAACCAGCAGAGAACTTTGTGGCACCTCAAAGATTAAGGATAGAATTCAACGCAGTGTTCATGAAGCATAAGATAATGCTCTGCCACTATAACTCCTCCTGATCTCTGTTGCATAGATGAAGAGTGCAGAGATTTCCCTTGGGGAATTGTACAAGAAGGTACTAGATTTGTCCCTATGGAAGCTCCACAAATGTTGGATCATTCTTCACAATGGACTGTTACAGAAGCACCAATAGGAGTCTTCCTTACAAGGTTTTATTATGCATTGTGTCCAACAAATGTGTTAGTTTAAAATGTCACAACGTTCTCTGTTGTTTTAGAAACTTACCATTGTGGTCTGCAATACCTGTCATATCAAATGGTTTCAGCTATACATTCAATGGATGTAGATGTGATTCTTCCTGGTTTTGCAAAATACACTGGTGGCAGTTTTTTCTGTTCTTTACCAGCATCAATCCTGCTGTTTTTCACTGGACCTCTAAAGTGAAGGAGTCATAAACCTTGTGTGTGTTCACTGATGATGAAGTTGCTTTTTTTTAGCAGCAGTACTGGCTGATCAGTATTGACCCAAAGACAGAGATGGTATGGGATGAATGCAAG